TTAATATTGGCACCAATAAGTGTAAATTGGAGAAGAAAGTTCAATACAGGTGATTTTTCCCTTTAACCATGATACGATAATAGATTAAGCTTGTAAAGTTATTTTTTATTTGGTTCAATTTTTAGTTTTTAGATTATTTAGGTTTTAGAATTTTCTTGGGTTTATTTATGAAAAATATATTGAAATTTGGGTTTTGGAGTCCAAATTATCCAGACTTTGATTTTTCAATCACCTCTAGTGATTAGAATATATTGTAGTAAATGACATGTTATCCATTTATTTTTGAGAAAATAAAAACTCAAGAAGTTGACTTGTTGTTTACTTGATCTAAGAAAAAAACAAGAAACAAATATACGGGTCTAGACTATCATGGACACAAATGAAAACACAAAAAAAAAAAAACAATAAAAATAAGCAGCACAAAATTCTTTCAAATAAGGTCACTCCATGAACCTTAATTTGAAATTTTATTACTAAATATTTCACCACATAAATATATTTCAATAAAAAATCCTTGTTACAAATCTTTTAGGCTTTTTATATACTAGCAAAAAGTCTTAAACAAAAATAATAGAGTGATCACGAATCCATACCTAGTTTTGATCATTCATTTCAGAGGCATGAGTAGAGGAGATAACTCTTTGATTGGAATAAGTCTCGTGGAAATTTTAGTGATTCAATTTATAATGAGTTATTTATGAATTAGTATTTTTCATCAATTTATGATGTTTATTTTAATGATAATTATATCAATAATGATAGAATAAACAATGACAATAAGGGTAATAAAGATATCATCAATGGTGTTTTCATTGATAAGTTAGAGTTTGAGTACAATGAAAATATGAAAGGTGCCCAACAAAAAAAAATCAATGTAAACTTGTTGGTTTTTTATTACAAGCTTATTATTATCACTAAGGTAAATTTATTTAAGGGTTATATGGATGAAACACATGTGAACTTTAAGGTTTGCAATTTATTATTTTAGAAGCTATTGGAAGAGAAATCATTTCTCAATTAATTCTTTTTATGAAAAATTCAACATGAAGAGAATGAAGTTGTATGAAATTATTGTGCACTCAAAAAGAAAAAAGAAAAAGGATCAGAGAGCCTTGATTGGATATCTATACAATCGAGGTGAGAATAATTTAAAATTGAGTGAGTTTTACAACCTAAACAAATTAATGTATGAGGTTTTTAAAGAAAATTATTTTTTTATTTAGTTTAGAAAATTAAATATTTTAATTAATAATTTTATTTCTCCTAGTTTGTTTATCAAGTTTATTACTTTTCCTTTGTTTTTAGGTTTTCTAATTTATTTAGGTGTGTTTTTTTTATTTATGTAAAGAGTTGTAAACCACTTATAAAGAAAAATTACTTGAAAAGAAAATATCTAGTAATAAAATTCTAAATTAAGATTTTTATGTAGTGATCCTATTCAGTAAAAATTATGTGTTGTTTGTTGTTATTGTTTATTGTGTTGTTTTTATATTCATCCAATATCTAGGCACTTTAGCTTTTCTATTTTTATGTAAAACTGCACGGACCTCAACTTCCAAACCTATACATGCTTAAGTTGGCCCTCCCCCTTAATATTTTTTAATATTTTAAAATAAAATCCTTTCAAATAAAAAATATAATAATAATTTAAAAATCATATAATGATACTGTAACAATCCTAAAATTTATGTTCAAAACAAAGAGCAAGGACATAATAATTCAGTTAAGATTAGGGTGATTCTTTTTTCTTTTTTTTTGCAATCAATCAAAAATCCGGCAAAGTTTTCTCTATATTTATAGGTACCAAGTTATCGACTCTTCTTCCATAATTTTTAATTATCAAATTTCCTACTTATCTTATCATCCAGGACTTCATCATCTCATTACATCATAATTTCTCAATAATCAAAGTCACATATATTTAAACAATTTAATATCACATATTTACATAGATGCAATTCAATGAATTATTATACAAATTATAACTAAAGTGCATTACATAATTCAAAGATTTACAAATAAATATAATTAACAAAATTATAATTGAAATAAGTACATGATTAAAAAAGAAATTAATAATTAAAATCATACTATAAAAAAAAAACTTTCAATAAACCATTCTCATTAAATTTTGAAATTTATATTACATAACAAAATAATAAATTCATTCATTACAAAATGATACCCAACAAAATATAAGGAAACTAATCTACTATTCAGTCTAATATAATGATATACTTGAAAATTAATTTAATACAATAATTTGATTAGACATATGAAATAAAATATTAATAAATTCTTTTTTAATTTCTTTCTTTCTTTCTTTCTTTCTTTCTTCTGAAAATTTGCTCATAAGATCATTAAATTAATTTTCGCATCTAGTATTATATATTTCAATTAAATTTTAGGATAATTCTTAATTACTTTTTAAACATTAATAAAAAAAATATAATTATTCATATCGCTCATTAACCCCGAGCATTAATTCCATTAATAGGTGATGAATTTCTCACTTATCCATTCAACAAGCACTAATTCTATCAATCTAGAAAATTAGTTTAATAATTCATTCATTTATCAGGGTACTAATCTCATTAACCATGAAATTAATTCTTCATCACGTCCATTTGTCAGTACTAACTTTATTAAACTAAGAATTAGTTCAATGATTTGCCTATTTACTAGGGTATTAATCCCATTAAAAAGAAAATTAATTTTTTATTACACCTATTCACCAGGACACTAATTCCATAATTCTAAGAATTAGTTCAATAATTTTTCTATTCATCAGGATATTAATCTCATTAACTAGAAAAGTAATTCTATATTACCAGGGCACTAATTCTATTAATCCATGAATTAGTTCATCACATCATATATTTTATTTCTTTAAGTAAACAATATAATAATTACTAATCTATTAATCATAATTAATCAGATAAAAATACATATTCATCAATAATAAATTCGAGCGCTATATAATTACCTAACAACTAAGTTTGAGCTAAAGTTTTCTGCTATGGTGTTAGTTTGACAGCCTTTCCTAAATTAATAAGTATATCATGTCATTTCTTTTCACACATAAATATATATTGGAACATTTTAAATAAGTTTATTAATTTATATCAAATTTTAACTACTATTATTATTTTACTTTCTGCATGAACACTATCAACAAATGAAATTCTTCTAATTATCCTTTTATATGCCAAAAAAAAATATAGATTTAAAGAGAAACATGAAAATTTCTTCTTCTTTTTTGTAAATTTTCTTCTTATTCTTCACATTCCCACATTGTAACACAATTCTTTTCATTATTCAAATCAATACATATATATTTTTTTAATTTAATTTTTTTTCACTCTTTAACATTAATTTCATCTTCTTCTTTTTTGCTGAAATTTAAACTAATGAAAAATATAAAAATTTCATATTCTATTCATTCTTTAACATTAACTTCATCTCTTTTTTATAGAATCTCATCATCTTATCAAAATTCTTAAATTATTATTATTATTTTATTAAAAATCCCTTCTTCAAGAACACTTCGAATTTTGCTTCAATTACCATAATTTCTTCTTCTTTTTTACTCACTTCAATAATTTTAATACAATTCCACAATCAATTACAATTTTCCCAAAAAAATTTATCAAGAAACATAATTTTAATTTCACAAAGTTCAATTAATTTAAAACATACATTCTTCATGAATTTTATTTAAAAATGCTAAAGCACCTTACCAAGCAATAACCAAAATTTTAATAATTTTAAATTGAGGAATTTTTCTTAACTTTGATTTCTTTCCTCTCTTTGATCGAATGCTTCTCCTTCTCCTTTGAAAAATAAGGTTTCTTTTTCTTTTTCCTTCCATGCATACACACACTTGCACACATGCACGCACGTATGTCTAGACAGACACTTAACCTTTTTATAATTTTTTTTAATGTTTCTTAATAGTAATTTTTATAATTTTTGGGTAAAGTTTTTTAAATTCTAATATCGATTTATATCAAATTTTACTTGAGTTATTTATAGTGTGATTGAGGTTATTTTTTAAAGTATTTTTTACTTATAAATATATTAAAATAATATTTTTTTTTATGTTTTTAAAATTAGTTTTTATATCAGTACATTAAAATAATATAAAAACATCAAAAAATATTAATTTGAGGCAATAATATTATTAAAGTTTTATAATTAGCCTATATAATCTATCATCATTCTTATAATTTAATTTTTTATTTTTTATTTTTTATAATTTTAACTTTTATTATTAATAATGATATTATTTGGGGTTTTATAAATACCATAATTTTCAAATAAGATTAGAGGTTTTAATGGTAATGTTAGTAATTAGTTTATAAATAATTTTATATTAAAATAAAATGTATAATTTTAATTCTTTTGAAATTCCTCATTGATATTCAATAAAAATAAAATGCCTGATTATAAAATTTATCAAATCATTTTTTTTACCCGAAAATGAAAAGTCTCTCTCTCTCTCTATATATATATATATATATATATATATATATATATATAAAAGGGAGAGAGACTTTTCTAAGCAATTCATAAAAATAAAAATATAGATTTTTTTTTCCTGGGCAATTGCATTTCAATAGTTTCTAGTAGAATTGTTTTCCATACAAGAGAAACATTGTTCTCATTTTTTTCATAAAAACAATTTATCCTTAACTTATGATGATGAAATTTCTCTACAAATTAAATAAATAAGCTTACACACACACTAATTTTTTACTGCAAAATTTTATAATCTAGTTGGTAAAATAAATTTTCTTAGCTTTCAATTTTTTTTTATAAAAGCTATAATTAATAAAACAAAAGGCAGGGAAAGAAAAATAGTTAGTATTTTATAAAATTTTTCTTTAAAATTATTTTTTTATATTTTTAAAAGTTTTAATACAATATCATTTTTAAAAATAAAAAATATATTTTAAGTTATTTCTAAAAAAAAAATACTTTTAAAAAACAATCGTTTCTTCTCAGAACAGCCCCATTCAATTCCAAGCATCTTCTTCTAATCCAACATAATTAACAATTAATTCAAAACAACTACACCAAACTTGCTAAATCTTCTTGTAAGCAGGACAAGGCAGCTCTTTCGTCTCTACTCTCCACCGCCCGAGGTTTTTCTTAAATAAAGATAGTGCAAACCTCTCTGACAGACGCAACAATTTAAACTACAACAACTACACCAATTCCAAACATTCGCTTACTCTATGCTCATCCCCTGGAATGGCTCTCTCCGCTCTCTAACTTGCTAAAATTTGAGATTTCAGAAAGAGAGAGACAGAAAAGCCCCACCTTCTTAAAGTAAATTATATACTTAGCTGACAAATTAAAAGGGTACCGAAGAAAAGGAAGTGCACCTAATTTTTATTACTACTATTATATTATATGCTTTCCTTTGAGCATCTCCTTATAACGCAGGAAGGATTCCAGCCTCTGCAACTTCAACTGTTGCTTGAACCTGTTGATAAAATCATCAGCTTTAGCATCAACCTCTTCATCTTCAATCATCACTGTTTTCTCTGAAGCCTTTGCCGTTGCAGGCCTTCTTTCTTCAACCTTCTCCCTCTCCACTTCCTCCGCTAAATCCAAGCTCACCGCCTTTTCGCTTGCCGACTTCTTCATTTTCACCTGCCTCTTCGTAGCTTTCATCATGTGCTCCGACTGGATCCTCTTCACATGATGATCATGATCATGATCATGACACGTACCCGGATCGGCATCCGACCTGGTTTGAGCTGGGGGATGTTGGGTTGTTTCTTCCGGTCCCGTACTGTAGTATAAAGAAGAGAAGTTGATGGACTTGACCCGCTCTAAAAGTGAAGGGGCTCTTTCGAGCTCGGGAGGATCATGTTCCTGGGTAGTGTTTTCGGGTTCTTGGGCAGGTGGGAATTTGTAGAAGGGGAAGTAGTCGATGGACTTGACCCGTTGTAGAAGAGAAGGGGCTCTTTCGAGCTGGGGAGGATCATGTTCCTGGGTGGTGTTTTCGGGTTCCTGGGCAGGTGGGAAATTGTAGAAGGAGAAGTAGTCGATGGACTTGACTCGTTGTAAAAGAGAAGGGGCTCGAGCGAGGTGCTTGTCTTCGTGTACTGGTTTATTGTGAGTACCATAACGGGAAGCAAGAGCAATAGTGGCAATCATAATATTCAGGAAGAGGAAGAGTGAACCCGGTGCTAACCAGCTGGTCAAGAAAGCAAAGATCGAGATTGCCATGGATTTCGTTTCTTTTTTATTTTCTCTCTTCTCCTTCTCGTGGTTTAATGTGATGTCAGGATAAAGAAGGCGAGTACTTATTGAAGAGAGAGAGAGAGGGGGGGGGGGGGTTAAGAGGTGATGTTCAGTTTTTTTTTTATTACTGCAGGTGGATTTATAAACGTGGTGATGGTTGTTTTAAAGAATTTTTATTTAAAAATATATAAAATAATATTTTCTATTTTATTATAATATATTAAAATAATTTAAAAATATAAAAAATATTAATTTAAAATAAAAATGTAATTTTTTAAAAATGCTTTTGGAAAAAAAAGACAAACATATTTGTAATATGATTTTTATGATAATTGAAATTATATTTTATAATTTAAAAAATATACCTTTCATGTTGTATTAGTATCGTTAGTCTAAGGTTTAAAATGAAAATCAAATAAAAAGTAACCTGTAAGGAAATATTTTTAAAAGACTACTACTAGTCAACAGAGCTGGTGGAAGGTTTGCTTTTAGTGAAAAAACCAGAATAATTTAAGATGTCTTATTGCTATGAAGGATTAAAAAAACTCTTGAGCCCTTTCTAAGAAAGAGACACATGTTTATTGCTGTAGTACGTTTGCGACCATTGCTACAGTAATCTAGTTTGAAAGTCGTCGTAGTTCCCCCGGCACATGGATGAGTCATTGAGCAGTTTGCGATCATTGCACATGGATGATTATTTAATATATATCAATTATAATAATATTCTTAAACAACCAAAATATCTACAACATAACCAATAACCAATTAGAGATGTATAGTTTTTATCTTAAAAAATATTAAAATAATTTAACTATTTTAAAAATAATAAAACGACAAGAATATCCAAGAGATAAAATCATAAAAGTTTTTTTTATTCCAAAACCAAAATAATAATTTTATTATACAAACAAGAAAATAACAAATATAATCTCATAAAATATATCAAACATAAAAGATAATCTAACTTCAAAGCTTACCTAATTATTTTTTTCAAGAAAAAAATTTATAATTATACTATTATAAGGAATAATAATATGTGTTTTGATGCACAATAATATCATTAATAGCTTTAATATACACACACAAGATACATGTTCACCCAATAAGTACATTAATCAAACTTTTATTTAAATTTTATTATACAAAACAATTATTAGATAGGTCAAGTAATTATATCATATACTTTTTAATTTATTGCTAATTTGTTTTTATTTATCATTAGATAATAGTTTTTTTTTTAAGTTTTATATTCATACAAGAAATTGTTTATTATTTTATTAGATCAAACGATAAAAAATAGTATTGCTATTTTGTTTTACTTATTTTCGCTATTACCAACTAATTAACTAATACCATAAGATCTTGTGGTACAAATGATGGTCTAATAACGTTCAATAAATATAAAATAATTAGTGTATTGATCAAACACATTTGAAGACAGTAAATATGTGATTTTTCATAATCATGCCTTTTCATTTTAGATGTCAACAAAAGTTGTGATTTTTCATGTTTGAGTTTTTCCATAAGATTTATTTCTTTAAAAATATTTTTCTTTTCCTTTTTAAAATAAAATATAAAACTAGCTAGCCAAAATAAAATTAAAAAATATGATAAATAAATAAATAAAATTAACAAATAATTTTTAATCAATATAATTTTTTAGTTTTTTTACTTTTTAAAATAATATAATTTAGATTATGAACTCTAAAATGCATGTAACATTTTATATCTTATAAAAAAATAAGTCAATAAAACATATCTCATTATTTAAGGATTGTCATTATTTTTTATTTAATGGCTAAAAAATTTTATAATAAATATTATAAGTTTGCCATCAAATGAAAAAAACAAAAACATGCGTTGTTTGCCGCATCACTTTGCAAATTCACAAATAAACAACTTCATCAACAACTTGTTGAAGATCCTTTTAAACACACTATTCAAGAATTTCATTTCGATGATCTAGTTAATAATAATAACAATAATAATATAGTAGAAACAAAAGAAAAAGTAGAAGAGAAAGTAGTGTTTTATCATTAATAGTAATTGTTTGTCAATGACTCATCGCTCTAAAACCTAACATAAATACATTTATCTTATTATTACTCCTAATAATCTTTTCTCATCACTCTAAAACCTAACACAAATACATTTATCTTATTATTACTCCTAATCTCAACAACTATAATGATAATGATGACCATGGTATTCATAAGAATGATGATGAAGCCTCTCAATCTACATCATATATTATTGTTAATCTTAATGATACTTTCCTTTTATATTCATAATTTAAAAACAAAAAAGATGAAACCTTGTTCTAATATGATTGTCTCAAACATTACATTTAAAAAAAATTCTATGTTGTTTGGTTTTTTATTACCTTTGTTTATCAACCCTTCATAAACTTTACAAAGACAAAAGTATCTAAATGGAAATAAATGATCTCTTTCATTTTTTACTTCTAATTTTCAATTCTTAAATTTTCTCTTCCAGCTCCCTACAAAACCTCCAATCATGCCTTTTCCCCTCTCGACCATTTCATTACATTTTCTAGCATGACCAACAACATCCGACCAAATTGCTCTAAATTATCACCTAATTTCTAAATCACTAATTCCACCAAATTGCTTTGAGTCCAAACCATCAACTTATTTCATTTACATAATATCTATATCCAATAAACATGAAGGATTTAAAGAAAAATATAATAAGTGGATTAACATAGAAAAGTAAAGGTGTTAAATCTAAAGGGTAATGTTGAAGGGATGGATGATAATCTTAATATCTCCTCTGTGGACTCCAGTATGGTTGCATTAATTTTTTTTTTAATTCATAACAAACAAGAACAAATGGTTTAGTAATTATGAGTTGCTCCTATCAGAAACTAGACTTTAAAAGTTTAATTAATGTTAAAGATGCTTTAGGTATTTAAGTAGTTTATGGAAAGAATACATTGAATAGTCAATTTCAAGACATGGCTAATAAAAAGGAAACACAATGGGCGAAGACAACATGATTCATTTATAGTTTTCTTAGTAGACAAGTATTATGTTTTCAATTTATAAAGACTTTTTATTAGAATATCAAAGTTTTAGGTAATAGAAATAAAGGAAAGTGATTAAAAATGTCATTATAAGTTAACATCTTGATGTTTATTGTATTACAAAAACTAAGTTTTCTAGGATTACAAACTCTTTTGTTTATAGATTATGGAATAATCCCAATGTCAAATGGCATGTTATTAACTTGAAGGGTAGATTTGGGGGTTTGTTAATTATGTAGAATAATGATTCCTTTAAGGTTTCAAACATCAAATTCAACTCACAATGGATTGCTTTGTTTGGTACTTATATTGAAAAGGGTTTTAAATGAGTGGTAATCTATCTATATGACAAGGTTAGTTTAGAAAAAGGTAAAAAATTATATGAGGAGCTCATTATTCTTAATTTTGCTCTAGGATGGCCTTGGTATGTTATAAGTGATTTCAATGGGATTTTAAGTTAGACTAAGAGAAGTAATGGGTATTTAAACTAGGTGGGAGCAACAAACCTCAAACACTTTCTAAATACCTGTGAATATATTAAGCTTTCTTTTCAAGGTCATCACTATACTTGGTTTAGATTTTCTTCTATGAGTATATTGATAGGTGTTTTGCACACCTGGATGCTACATTAGCTTTTCCTTATTATACACTTCTTGGATTAGATAAAAGTATTTTAGACTATCATTTTGGCAAAAGCAAGCTAGGAAGATTTTACATATAGAAAAAATCAAGTTATAATTTTTTACGGAATCAGAAGTTTAATTGTATCTCATTTTACCTAAAACTAAAGAGACAATATAGATTTAACGTCAAATTAAATCATTATTGGATGAATTTGTATAAAAATTAAGTTAAATGATATAATTAGATTTTTAATATGCCAATTTGATTTAATCATGGGCTAAATTAAAATTTAATTATGTCTAAGAATTAATTTGAGTTCAATTAAAGGATTTAATTAAGTGTAAGGACCTAATTATACTTTAAATGAGTTAAATCAATGTTACTAGAGGCTTCATCAGTGAAAAGTTAACTTTGAGAGCTCAATTTGGGCTAGTTAAGAAAATTAGAATTTTAGACTTTAATTATGTCTAAGAATTAATTTGAGTTCAATTAAAGGATTTAATTAAGTGTAAGGACCTAGTTATACTTTAAATGGGTTAAATCAATGTTACTAGAGGCTTCCTCAGTGAAAAGTTAACTTTGAGAGCTCAATTTGGGCTAGTTAAGAAAATTAGAATTTTAGAAGACCAAATTTAATTTTTACCAAGTCAATTGATTGAAATGGAGGGTAAAATTACAAGAAAATCAAAGTTTTTAAGTTAATTAAAAGCTAAATTAAAACAATTTACAACCAATGATCATTTTGAAAAAGATGTCGAACACTGAGGACCCAAATGGCTGAAATCAAGAGTGAAATTGAAAAGATTTGAAAATTTAATGATCAATTAGAGGCTAAATTAAAGAAATTTGAGATCATGAATCATTTTGAAAAAGAAGTTAAAATCTAAGGTTGAAATTAAATTTTATCAATGAAAATTAAACAAAATTAAAGTTTGAAGCTGATTAGGAGTGTAATTAAGAGAAATCATAAATTAAAGGACCAAAATGAACTTGACCAAAATAACACTGTTTTGGGTTAATTGTTCATCTTTTTCTCTAGAGAAGTTACTCAGATGGCCTCCTTCGTAGGGTATTTAATGCTTTATCTCTTCATAAAATTTGACAAAACTTGTATAAAAACAACAACCTAACACCTAACTACATGCCAATGTGATCTTTTTGGTTGATTGATGCCATAACCGCTTGATCAATCATTTTCTGTAACAAATTTGATAATCTATGATATCTACTTTGAACCAACGGTTGAAATTCTTTAGGGGCCAACTTGAGTGCCAAGATTTGGCACCATAAAAAACAACATGTCCCTCTTCCACTCCTTATAAATAGAGGTGAATTTCACAGTCTAAGCATGAAGAAATTAGAGGCCACACTTGGAGAAAAACCAG